GTCTTTTGAGAGTGGTGCTGGTAAACGGATGGGTGGTCTGGATGGTGCTGAGTCACAGGAGGAGGTGGTGGATGGTAAACGTATAGGGTGGATAGGCGGAGTTGGGAGTGGCTGAAAGTGTTGGCGGAAAGTGGGATCCGCTTGGTGGATGTGGTGGAGGAAATGGGTGTGAAGGTGTGCTACAATATCTGTTGCTTGTCTGAGCAGGTTTTGCACCTGCGAAAGTGCCACTGTGGTTCTGTGTATGAGAGTTGAGGTGTCGTTGTGTAGAGGTGTCAGTGTGCTGCTCATGACTTGGAGATGTAGGGATGTACAGTAGCACAGAGTCGTCACGGGTTGCTGCGGCAGCGCGCCAAAGCAGCAGGACGGCAGCTGATCTGCGGGAGCGCGTCATCACGTGGCCGTGCATATGAATTAAACGAGCATCAAATTCCCACGGGCATGGTGCGAAGATGCAAGTCCGGTTGAACAATCAAGTGCATGAAACTCTGACATGTGAAATACTCCATCAAAACAGCTGGTACGATTCTGAAAAAGATGTTTAAAGCAAAACCTGCAGAGCTTAAAATTGAGGGTTCAAAGTTCGCGTGGCCGCTGCAGGAGGCTCTTTTTGGCTGCTATGAGCAAAGGTTATGTGGTGGTGTGAGACAAAAGGTGGAGGTGGTAGTGGTGTGGAGGTGTTGGACAGTGGTGTTATGTGTCTGGTGGAGTGGAGTTTGTGGACCAGGCCAGTCCTTTGACAATGGCATGGTCCGGGTGGATCACCCAGCAGCGGCCCTTCTGGTGGAAGACTGCGCCGTGGTGATCGTTAAGGAGGTTCATGGCGTGTTCCTCACCTCCGGAGGTATATTTTGTGGCGGCACCCCAAGCAAGGAGTGTGATGATAAGGGAATGGGAGTTCTTGTGGAGTTGCCAGGTGTTGTGGATGATGCGGGCAAATTCGTTGTGATCATGGGGTTGGTTGTGGGTGATGCGGACACCCTGGGCAAAAAATCCAGGGTAGTTGGCAAAGTGAAGTGTGCTGGGTAAAAATCGACCTTGGCGTAGAATGTTGGAAATGTTGCCGACGGGGCCTGTGTGGCCTGCGTTGATGTGGGCGACTTCCCGGTGGGTTGATGTGGCTCGGGAGACCGCGGGCGGTTCTGGTGTAGTGGCTTTTGTGTTGAGGAAAGGAAGTGAGATGGCGTAGTATTGGAATTGGTCGTATTGGTGAGTTGTGTCGTTCCACTTGGCGTGAGTATATTGCCGGAAATCGGTGATCTCCTTGTAAGTGATGTTGCAGTCTGTGAGGAGATTGGCAATGTACTGGTGCTGTGGTCGGTTGGGGTTGTCGAGTTGGGTGGCGTGGGAGTTGGTCTGCAGGTGAAAAGGTGTGAAAGTTGGGTGGAGGTCGCCAACGGTTGATTGGGCGACGAAGGACGGCTGTGGTGGGAAATTGAGAGGGGTCTGGGTTGGTGTGTTCAGTGTTGGGGCGTAAATCGATGGGTTGTGGTGGTGAGCGACTGCGGGATGGTGTAAGGATGGATGTGTAAGTGGATGTCGAGGGTGAGCGGCGTCGCCAGGTTGCGCTGTGGTGCTTGGAGTGGTGGTGATGTCGATGTCGGCGGCGGTGGTGATGGCGTCCTCGGCGGTGATGGTCGGACTTGCGTCGGCTCTTGTGGTGGTGGCGGCGACTGCTGTGTGGTGGCTGTGGGGAAGGTGGTTGTGGTGCTGGTGAGGCGGTGGTGTCAAGCTTGTCCGTTGCAGGTAGTGAAGGCCCAGGAGCTGGTGCGGCTGATGTAAGGGATGGTGATGCGGAAGGTTGGGATGCGGTAGCTGGAGGGGTCGTGCTTTGGACCAGCAATGGAGCGTCCGTGGCGGTTGTGGGGATGTGTTGGATTGGTGGTGTTGGATCTGATGGCGTCTGTTGTGGGAGTGGAGGCTGGACTGGTGGTGAAGTGCTGATGGTTTGTGGAGGGGGCGGCGGGGGCAATGGTTGGGGTGGAGGCTGTGTGACTGGGGGAAAGGCTGAGTAGGGTTGCCAAACGCCTTGGGGGATGGCGCATTGTGGGTCTGTGGATGGGTGATTGGCAATCGCGGTCTGTTGCTGTGTTGGAGGGGGATGTGTCAGTGTAGTGGGGGGAGGAAGTTCAGCCGGTGGTGTGGGATGTAGTGGTGGCAACATGTATGAAGGGGGAGGTGCTGCTGACGGAAATACTGGAGTTGGATGTGTGGGCTGCGGTGGCACGTGACATGGTTGTACAAACGTCCAGGTGGACGGTGTGCCGTAGGTCAATGCAGTGGCGGTGGGATTGGACAAAAAAGGTGGTGGTTGGAATGGTTGTGGGTGTGGGTGAGGGTATGCCGATGGTTGTGGCGAGGGAAAGGTGGGTGCAGTTGATGGCTGTGGCAGCGGCCATGTGGGTTGAGGTTGTGTGGTAGGTAGTGGTGGTGGCGTGGCGTGAGCGTATGGCCACGGAAAATGCATGTCGTGGTCGTAGCTATGGCACGGCGCGGCGCGGCAGCAAAAATGCAGCGGAGAAGTGCCGAGTTGTATTGTCATGATGTTGTTGAAAGTCTCATCTCTGGTGTCGATGGAGAGTATGTTGTAACGTGGTGCTAGAGGTGAGCTTGTTGGTAGGTGTGTGTTCATGCATCTCGAATTAGATTGAAGAGCTCTAATGCCCAAACTTGAGTTCTGCTGATGAAAGAGTCACGGCATCGATATGGCAAAACATGGAAACACAAACGTGACTTGGAGAAGTGAACATGACGGATCCGAAATCTGAAGGCTGAAATCCGATGTATTCTTCAAGAACCGTTTTTTGGCCCGGCGGCCGGTATGTCAGTTGATTCTGTGAGGGTGTCAGTGCCTTCCTGTGAGAGTCCGGTGAGTGGTGGTGCGTTGTGGTGGATGCTTTCCCATGCAACATCAGCGCCCCTGTGACGGGGATCACACTCAGCACCCGAGTGGGACGGCTGAGCGGGACACACTTCGACAATTTGTATTCAGTTAGCTCAATTTCTCCGATGGGAAGGATGGCGAAAAACCGCAAGGTGGAAAAGTCAGCTGAAACAGTATGGTTGAACATGGTTTCCAATCGCACTCGAAAGACGCGGCTGCAAAGCTGTGCAAGTCTGCGGTCGGCTGCTGAAAGAAACCTGTTTGTGGGGTGGAATACATGAAGAACCATGAAACAACACGCGGAAGAGTGGGGTAAACAGCTTGTGCAAAAGTTGTGTGGCAGGTACACACCAAAGCGTCCTTTGGTGCTTCCCCTCCAGCGACTTAGCTTCATTGGGCAAGGTTCGTCGCCGGAGGCCTTGCCCCCCTGCCTGTGAAAGGTGGAAAACCCTTTGTCCAGGGGTGGACACACACACACACACTCTCCCTGGCTTGGCGCAAAGGAGATTCGGCGTATGAAACATTTGTTTTTTTGCGCTCTGCCCCCCATAGGAAACGCACAGAAAACGCACCTACGGAAAACGCGACCCCAAAATGTACAAAACGCACTGAAAACGCAGCTATCAAAAACGCGTCGGGCACCTCAACTTAGGCGAGGTGTTCAAAAACACTGTGTTTTACAGGGGTTTTTGGGCGTGGAAGATCCACAAATTTGACAGTGGCGAAATGCAAAAACTGTGGGTTTTACAAGGGTGGTGTCGGTAATGTGCGCCGCGCGGACGTGCATAATCGGATGTTTTTTAGTGATGGGCCCGTGTCAACACAAATGGCGGACAATGTACCCCAAGATGACCCAACAGAGGCCCCCAAGATAGGTCCAAAATGGGCTAACATAGCCCCAAGATGGGCCAACATAGGCCGAAGAGGGGCCCAGCATAGCCTTCAGAGAGCACAACATAGGGCTAAGATGGGCCAACATGGGCCCAAGATGGGCCAACAACAACAATTATAGACAATTGGTGGGTGGCAATTGGTTGGTGTGACAATTGATTGATGACAGTTGGTTGAGGACCATGTTTTTAGACAAACAGGCCATTAAAAAATAACCCTTTGAGAAGGGCAGAGACCTACCAACCAGTTGTCACCAACCAAATGCCACCAACCAATTGTCACCAACCAGTTGTCACCAACTATATAATTGTCACCAACCATTTGTCATCAAGCAATTGTCATCAACCAGTTGTCATCAACCTATTGCCACCCACAATCAATTGCCACCCACCAATTGCTACCAACCAATTGTCACCAACCAATTGCTACCAACCATTGTCACCAACCAATTGTCGCCAACCAGCTGTCATCAACCAATTGCCACCGACCAATTGTCACCAACCAATTGCCACCTGCCACCAACCAATTGCCACCAACAGACTGCCACCAACCAATTGCCACCAACCCATTGCCACCAGGAAATTGCCACCAACCAATTGCCACCAACAAACTTCCACCCACAAACTGCCACCAACCAACTGCCACCAACAAACTGCCACCAACCAATTGTCGCCCACCAACCACCAATTGTCCGCTCCTGTGTCTGGTGAAGTCGTGAACATGTGGGGTTCTCCGGTCCTGTATTTTTTCATGTTTTTTTATGCCATTGAAGACCCTTGCTGATTGCTCTACATTGCACTATTAAGCAAATATGACTTAACACCAGTGCCTTCAGCAGAACCACTTCAAAAACAAGGGCAGACTCCATCGAGTGGACCATTGTACAGGTGTGAGATAACTCAAAACATGGTCGAGTTCCGGTCATGGTTCCATCATTCCATCATTTGTGTCATCGGTCAAAATTTGAGAATCTCTTTACCTTTGCCCGCGTCCAGTGTGACCGGTTATGCATGGGCAACCAGAACCACCACCAAAACGACGACGTAACGAAAGCAAAGCTCCCAAGAGAGGTTAAGTGACCTTATAGCACCCAACTGAGGTAGCTATGGGATAGTCTAAGTCGGATTCTTAAACCTCTCTTGTTCCTCCACGTAACGAAACCTCGGCACGCGTCCCATCGGACCTCCTCCGGCACTTCTCGCGAGCGACCGCAAGAGTCCGCGAGGAGAATCCCATCGGCTTAACGATTTGGAACATGAGCCTTGCAGCCTTTAAGGTCGGATCTCGACCGGATCAACGGTTTTTTGGGGTTTGGCCGGCATCGGGTCGTGGTTTGTTTCTATATTGAAGCATGTTTCTATGCCACTGATGGCATGATTCATGGAGCTCCAAGATTCTCCCACTGGTGAAGAGCGAAACGTGAGCATGACTTGTGGTCGCTAGATCTGAGTTTCTTGATTGAGGTGTATAAACGACCGATGATGTGCCCATGATGGGAGACCACTTTCCTGCAACTAAAGGGGTATTCAGTGTCATGTGGATGTTCTTTTCCGGCTGGTCGGAAATCGTGTGCTGTTTTCTGGCCCTCGGGATGGATGTTTTGTTTAGGTCCTCATACCGTTTGGTGCCTTTGCGGTGCTCGAACCGTGTTGGCAAGAAGCAGATAAGTTCAAAAGTGTATGTTTGATATTTTTTGATGGCAACTCACTGCATAATGTTTCGCAACACATCTCAACTACGAGTCTATATTGATCCTAATAATACCATGATGGGCCGGCACAAGCCCGCTGCATATATCATGTATGTGTCATGTGTAATTGTATATATCTATGTTATATTTAGGTAGAGGTGGTCCTTTTTGTTGCCTTTGCTGAAGGCTTCTGGAGACCATCCTTCCCCGAAGCCGGCGGGGAAAGAGGAAGTCCTGGAAGAGAAGGCGAGGACCCCGAAGGGCAGTTTCTTGGGCAAGCCGTGATGCTGTATATATTATATATTATTATATGATGTTGGTTGTTTTCGCTCAAACTTTACCTGCGTACCAGACAGCATCAGCAAATCTATGACTTTCATTCGCTCATGCTTCTTCCTATGTAAGGGGTGCAGCTCAAAAACCGCTGTATCCACCCCAAATACATCAAAAGACCAATACCATGGAACGATCCACCTGGGAATACCAAGCACCTCCCAGAACCCGTCCGGTTCCAACCCCGATCGCTTCGGTTCCGGCGGCAGACCGCGCGTCGGACACGCTTGGGTGTAGCAAGTCTAGCAGTGCCCCACCTTTTTTGGAAGCTGTTTGTTGTTCATGTTCAAAAAGGATGGTCTTGATGCATGATGTGTGCACGTTGATGTTTTGTTTGTTCCCCAAATAGTGCTCCGCACTAAGGGGTTCTTACGGTAACACAAAAGTTACTTTTTGAATTCCTCATGTCCATTTCGACTGCGCAGGCTCGCATAAAGTGGGTGTCGCGGTTTTTGCGCTTCGGGGACAAAGCTCTCGTGCAGGTGCCGTGCTCGTTTTCGGACATGAAGTGCATTTCGCGTGGCAGGCGCAAGGAATTCGACACATTGGAGCCTCGAAAAGGTCATTTTACGTGGCAGGTGCAAGGAATCGGAGACTTTGCGAATTTCGTGGCAGGCACAGTGTTTTGTGGACGTTGCAAAAACGTTGGCAGGCGTGTGTCATTCGCAGGACTGCGTTTCACGTGGCAGGCGCAGGGAATCCGCACCATGGATGCGATATTTTGAGGTGAAACGGCTGAATTCGTGAGAGGGGTCGCATTTTTGGAATTTGAACTTGAGGATGCTTTTGCGTGGCCAGTGCAGCATTTCGTATGACCTGCAGGCATGATTTCGTGGCAGGCACAGCATTTCTGAACCACCGCATTTCCAAATTTGCGAAAGCCTCGTGCAATTTGCTCATTTTGGATCTCCGATGTGTAGATTTCGTGGCAGGCGCAGCACTTTGTGAATCTCGATGTGCAGATTTCGTGGCAGGCGCAGCACTTGCTGAGTCTGGAAGTGCAGATTTCGTGGCCGGTGCAGCACTTTGTGAATCTCGATGTGCAGATTTCGTAGCAGGCACAGCACTTTGTGAATCTCAATGTGCAGATTTCGTGGCAGGCGCAGTACTTTGTGAACCTCGATGTGCAGATTTCGTGGCAGGCGCGGTACATTGTCAACTGCGAAATACGCTTATGTACTCGCCTATGTGCTCCCAGATTTGTGCTTGTATGTGCTCTCACATTTGTGCTCTCCGATGTGTGCTCTCATGTGCTCTCATATGTGCTCCCATATGCTCTCATATGTGTGCTCTCATTTGTGCTCGTGAATCTCGATGTGCAGATGTTCTTGAAGGAATTTGTATTTCACTGAACTTGCCGTTTTGGAAGATGTTCTTTACACTATTTGGGGTCCCTTGCCGGTGTAATTTTTCTTTGGATCCGTGCAGCACTGCAGGTGTCGGATCCAGAGTGATCGCGAATCATAAGGTTGGATTCAGGGAAGGGTAGAAACACAATTAAGCTGTTTTGTGTTTCCCTTCCCCAAGGAATATTGACCCTAAATCTGACTAAGGGACAGGGGTGAAGGACTCTGAACTTACAGATTCAGTGCTATAGAAGGGCCTGATTCTTGCGGTTAAAACAGATCCTTTAAACGGAATCCCCAAGGGTCAAGGTAGGGACCTGTCACTGAGGTCATTCACTGGCTCTCGTTTGTTTCACGCAATTGCGCAACTGCGAAACGAACGATCAGGAGGAACTTCCAGCCTTTGAGGATGTGACCGTCCGGCACTGAGCGAACGTGATGCGGGGATGGTTCATGTCCTAAAAGAGGTACACACCACAGGTGCTGAACCACAGGGTTTGGTGCTGAACCACAGGTCTTGGCCGTGCACGTTTCCAAGTGTTCATCCCACACTATAGCTTATAGCTTGCCATCCGGGCCCAGGGCAAGTCTGCGATTTCCAAGCCTGTCACAGGGGATGTTCAATGTTTGTGCTGCCAAGATCTGACGAGGTCGTGGTCAGCTGTGGTGTTCGAGTCAAAACTCAGAAGAATCATGAAAAGTGGCTGTCACCCGCAAGGAGGTTGGTAACAGGATTTGGATAGATGTGGTTCATTTCGGATCATTTCCACATGGGATTCAGTTGCCTGCTCGGGTTCACCGTTACGCCATGTTACGCCCACCATCGGCGGACCAGGAGGTGGCTTCTCCAGAGGACCTCTCCATCGGTGTCTGGGGCCGCATTCGTGCGGCATGGGCGGTGAAGTGGTTGACCTGGTGTTGTGATGTTTCCGTATGATTAAATCCCCTTCTTGAGGATATGTGTTTGTTTGTTTTCCAGGTTCCTTAAGGTCATCCAAGTTGATGTGCCGTTGTTGGGTTTTCCCCGCTGACAGGTTCGGAGTTTCGATCATGTGAGACATTTTGAGACGGACACTGTTGGTTTGTGGGAGGCCCAGTACGATCGGCAGACTATCAGCAAGTGATTCCACACTGCAAGCCAGGAAGCTAGCTATGTTTCATCAGAGGTGAATGATGTGAGGAGCTTTAGATGTGCCTTGGGTGTTTTTCTCTTTAGAAGTGCCCCAGCCAATAAGTGAGCACTTCTGGCTGGCAGTTTGTCAACACCCGCCTCAAGTAAGAGCATTCTCCGCAGCCCTGTGGCCTCGGGTCATTTGGGCAACGAAAGACGACCGGTGTTTTTTGCAACTCACAACTCGACTGTTTGGAATCTTCGGTTTGAACACGGTGACCCGTTTTTTCTCCTTTGAGGGGTCCTGGTGCTCATCCAATCCAAATCACCAAGTTGATCACAGGAACCTTGGAAGCCCTCTAGTAAGCATGACTAGCGGGATCTAGCGCGTCTTGGTGTGTTTTGGTCGTTCCATTCTGAGTCTTGCCCCGGAACACGGTGCTTCTTCGGCGTCGGCTTCAAGGTGATCGGGTGCTGGTGCGCAAGTGCACACAAGGAGAAGTGACCGGATTGTGCAAAGCCCAGTTGACAAGTGATGTACATTGAGGTGCCATGTAGAGGGGGCCTTTGGTTCAGGTGAGAGTGCCTCAGTAGTGATTAGTGAACGCTTGTTTCTAGATGTTTACTTGATGTCACAGACTGAGTCAATGGTCCTTACTGCTCTCTGAAGATGTTCACTTCCGGACCGATGGAAGTCCTACCAGCCACGACTTCTCTTACCAGGCGCCCTTGTGGCTTCCCCAATGGGGTGGAGGTGACCCTGGAGAACGGCCAGAGGAGCGGCGCTTGGGGAAGCTCTAGGGAAGCGAGGGTCTTTGCGTGGTGGGAAGTGGCGAGTCGTCTGAAAACGCAGAGGATCTGGGTTGGATTAAAGCCAAAATGGACCCCTGGCACCCAGTGATCCTGGTGTTTTGGCTGTGGCTAGTGTTCGGAACAGCTTGGCACCCGTTCTCCAAACTAAGTGGGTGTATAATTGTGTATAGTTTAATTCAGAGACCCCCAACCAATGGCCAATGCAACCAATGGTAGACCGGGTCTATTTCCCTTCTCCGAACTCGTTCGCCGGCGCTTCGGTCTCCCGATGTGGCCCGAGCCGGTGATACGGTGGCCGATGCCGATCGCCGCGGTGAGCTCGGCCGATCATCGTCTTGGCCTGGCGCGTGAATGAGGGAATGGAGTCCTGGGTCCTGAGGGATCATAGCGGGGGGGCTCGGGCATTCTCTCATTCCCTACTAAGCACCAGTCAAAAAAGCTTTGAATGGCTGTTGCTCGCTGAAGTGGATTGGATTGTAATATAGTAATCTGCTGGTGGTGAATGGTGAATCGATGTGAATCGTAGTGTGGGTAGCGTAGCGCAGTCGCCCTTCGAGCATTCAAAGCATTACCCATTGCTGGTGAAATCTTATTACACATCAATTGAGCAATGAATGATAATTACAGTGGTCAAAGACGGTGTTTTGATGTGAACATATGAAAGTATGGAGAGATCATGAAAGTATGAGAGTGTGTGAACATATTGAACCCTGTGAAAGTATGGAGATGCTTGTCCTGTTCCCTGTGGAAGAGATCAAAGCAACACATGTCACACCAATGGTGGTCCGATTCGGACGTCTCGCCCCCCAAACGGAGCATCAAAGAGAGGAAGCACTTCCTTCCCAACGAGTCAGGGAGCTCAGTCTGACGGTGTTGGAGGGAAGTCTTCCGTGTGCCCCGCAACTTCGGCATGGAGGGCAAGCTGGCATGGCAGGGCTTTCACGGGGCTCTACCCTCCCTCCAATCATGGTTACGTGGATGGAATGGCCAACATATACCATTAGATGTTCATAGATGTTCTAGTACACGACTTGGAATAATATGAATAATCATGGTTGCGTGGATGACATGGACCATTGGATGACCATGTTTTTCTACAAACAAGTCTCAAACTCCACTTCCATGTTTGTCGGAAGGTTCCCATTTCGGCCGACGATCGCTTCTCAGCCAAGAAACCCTAGCGCATTAAAGGTGCTGTCATTCCGGAGGAGGGCTCATGGTCTTTGTTTGTTGCTGACTTGCTGAAGCATATGTCCCATGGACATGAATGCGAACATGGGACACGTAACAACTGAGCGACCACGACAACAGTGGCACCGATTGCTTTTTCCCTACTATACCCAGTCAGTGGAAAACCTGAAAACACTTTTTGGGATCGTTTTGGGGGATTCATGAGGGATTAGATTTAATGTGATTAAATGGAAACTCGTGTACCATCCTGAACCTTAAAATGTGTCTAGGTCTAGGAAACTGAGGGAGTCAACCCCTTCTTCCTGCGTTTTCACCTGGTTGTGTGCCTCGATTCGCCTCGATCCTGTCACAGCGCCACCGTCAGGCTGCATTTGGTCTCAGCTTCCAAATCCAGCGGCGACCGTCCCATCCCACAGTTGAACCTGCAGGCACGGTCTGTTGGTCTCAAGTGGTGCTGATACGGCGGAAGGACGAACGAAAAAGGGTCAGTTGGTTCTTTCACCGGGGATCTTCGCTTGGAGATCAAATCCCTGGTTTTGCCATCGCAAAACTCTATTTCTTTGTTCGCCTTCTGCGGTGAATCCCCTGGTGTGGGTGTTCCCCCAGTTCTTCCCACGTCGCACTGTTCCCAGGAATCCGGTTTTTCAGACCCCCAAGGCTTGTATGGAGCATGTAAGGGCACAAGAAATCGTTAACTCAGAATCGCCGTCCCAGCGGACCGAGACGCATCCAGTCGGCAAGAATCGTTTGGTCAGTCGAAGTCTGACGTGTGTGTGATGTTCATTTGCCTGTGGCGGTTTTGACCGAACCAAAGCCACCATGTACTTGGACAAAGATTGAGTTTCTCAACTGTCCCAATTTTAGACTGATGCACTATGGAAGAGTTTGCCCCAAGCATTGATCCAAGATTGTGGGTATGCATGAGGGTGACGCAGAGCTTTTGGTTCAACCCATTTCACAACCACAACTGGCACCACCAGCGTTTGGAGGTTTTTGGGTTGGACCCACTGCCTGGTTCACGCCTTGGACGCCTTTGGTCCAATCGATGACATGACAATGCACGGTCCAAGGCGCATGACGCGTACAACCACGTCACCACTTCTCAAACAACCATCCGGTTTCAGCCTCATGTACCACAACCAAGGAGCGGCGCCGCGCCGTCTCATCACATCCAATTGCTGATGTTTTTTGCAGCTGCACCCGCACGACCCAGCCCTTGCCACGGTCAACTCCGGTCAGGAGTGCAGGTTCCTTCACAAGTGCATGAAAATGGAAGGGTGGATTTCGCAAGGTGCACTTTGCTCCCTTTCCTCGTTGCAAGCTCATTCGCAGCTCGTGCGATTCACAGGGTTGCTTTCACAGGAGCGGTTGGACGTGCAGTGATGTTTGCTTCCCCGAGGACAGAACTTCTCGTTGATGGTGACTCGTTCAGCATTGGAGACATCAAACGAGCGATATATCTATTGAAGCAGCAGGGAAGGCAAGTTCAAACAAAGGTGTTTACCTGGCCCAGACGGACTGACAACAAAAAATGGGCTCAATTTCTGAAAGAACCCAACATCAGTTTTCAGCCAGTACCGCGTTCAGCTGGGCGCTCGCACGAGCCCACTGATCAAGCGATCATATCAGCCATGTCGCAGGTGTCAAGTCGTCGTGATGTTGGTTGTATTGCATTGCTAACTTCAGATGGAGATTTCATCAGCACCATGATTGATCTTCGATCCGCAGGTGCCAACTTCCTGGTGGTTGTACCTAGGTTCAAAGAGTCAACAGTTGCCAGATATGCAAGTCAAGGTTTCCAAGTGCTTATTTTGGAGCCCGCTGGCAAGAGTACAGATCCAAGGGTTAGAGCTATTCTTCACAGCGATGGGACTGGCTCAGTGCAACTTGCAGACCCATACAAATCATTTGAGAATGTGCAAGGGTCAAGAGCTGTGAGGAGCTTCCTGGCAGATTTGGGATACGCTTGTCAAGAGCGTGTGAGCCACATCAGGGACTTCCTCACACCAGCTTGTGCAAAATTCTGGTTTGCCAACGACTTGGGCTCTCTAACTGTTTTTCCAAGCCAACCTGCAACTCTAGCCGTGCAAGATGTCATGACTCAGCATGCAAAGGCAGGATGTTGGGCACAGTATTTGGAAGACTTTGCGTTTGTTTTGCCATGTTCGACAAGACACAGGCACGGACTGGAGAAGTATGGAAACAGCATAGCACGTGGTGTGTATGCTGGTTCTGGCCCCTTTATATTGAAAGATTCCTCACAGACAACATCTTTGGTGCTGAGGAGGCTCGGCTATCTTGATGACGGTTTGAATGCAGATGAATCTGAAGCAGTGCTTTCCTTTATAAATGCTACCAAAAATAAAGTACAGTTGAGGAAGATGCAATTGCTGCCCAAGCCTTCAGACAACATCAACCAAGCTAAAGGGAAGCTGCGGGCAGCATTTCTCTCCCATGCATGCAAAGGCCTATGGCATATTCCTGGAGACCGCACCAAAGATGTAACAGTCATATTAAGAAAGGCTGGGATCCTTTCGAAACCTGGTGGCCAATACTCCAGGAATGAACTTCTTGATGCAATGAGACTCTATGCCAGAAAGAAGGGGCTACGACCCATGCAAACCTTTAATGGCAATGCCCGGAGCATTCTCAGGGTCGACAGAGCAGATCCTTCCCAGAGAGATGAAATTAGATTCGGACGTTTTAATACTGAGCCTCCATGCAACTGTGGTTAAGATTCTTTGCGCTCATGATGTCGATGTGCACCAAAAGACCTGAATACAGGCAGGCCGCCTGATCACGGAAAATATTGACCTGTTTGATGCGAAAGAATAGCTGACCATGCCTGACATGACCGTCATGCCTGAACATGAGCTTGTTGACCCAATCGCCTTTAAACCACACCAAGCTTACACTGCTATGCTGTGTACGGATGTGTACGGTACGCCGCGGACTCGCAGCTGGTCAGAGATAACCTCACCAAGCAACATACGAGCTGGGTGTTTCCTTGCTATTGATGGGACCCCCCGCGCGACCGTGCAATGCCTGCCACTCCACTCCCTTCCAGCGAGGATCCTCGCTTCAAGCCGCTGGTGCAGCTCAATCGGTCGCATCTTGGCAGAGAGTCCTTATTGTTACACAGGAAGAAGATATACCCAGACACTCCATGGGACTGCCATATATGCCAATCAGTTGGGATGGTTTTGGGGGTCAATGGGGCGGCATATATGGCATACGTGGAGTGTCTGGGATTTGGTACCCCCGAAATGTCATTGATTTGTCCTGTTTGTGTGACTGCAACGGTTTGAAAACCTGTTTTGTGTGACTGCAACGGTTTGAAAGCCATTTATTGGTCCTGTTTTGTGTGACTGCAACCGTTGGAATTCTGTGTATCATATAGTAATATATATGTATCAGCAAGTGGATTTTCCTAGAAAACAGTGCATACTATTGTTATCCTAGTTTCCTTGAGCATATATTGTATCATGTTCATTGGGTCGCGTTGATTGCGCTACTCCAAACTGACGAGCGCTCAGTCGCACTCCTCGTCCAGGTGGACGGTGGACGGGTCTCACTTCGAGGACTTCCCTCACCAGCCAGAGGCCACGGAGGGATTCCTCAGGTATACTGCCAATGCGCTGGATCGGGCGACAGGGGACCCTCGGAATATAACTGGCTTGTTCCTCCTCTTTGCTGTCTGTTTTCCTCTCTTCCTATTCTGGATCGGGCACAGCCGATCAGTTGGAGGACGGGTCTTGGGACGTCGGATCGCCGAGGTCGATGCCGTGTGTGACAGTCCACCTACGTGAGGTCGATCTTGGACCCCCATCGATGTTGGATTCGAATGCCGTTTCGGTGCATGAGATTTGATTGGTTTTTGGTGTGAGTTGAGTTGGACTCCAGTTTTTGAAACATATCATTGATTGATGGTCTTGTTACATGTTCAAAAATAGGTTGCTGAGGCTTATTTAACAAGCTAAGTTTCTTCTTTGGATGGCCTGGTTCCTACGATTGTTTTTTAGATGGCATGTTCTGCTGTTCACCATCCACGTCAGGCTTAGACGAGAAGGAGTATACAGTATCACTGTCACTGGTTGGTCCCGGCTGGCAGCCTTTGCCTCAGCCCACGACAGGCCAACCCCGGCTCCTTCGTGGTCTCTCTGAACGCTTGCGCCAGCCTCATGTGACAAAGATGTTTTCGGGGATGGTCGAGATGTTTGGATGCATCAAAAAATTAGAATAAAGCTGGGAAAATCAACCATTTAAGGCGAAGCTGGCCAAACTGTCGGAGCTGGGTTGCCAGTTTTCGCACAAGGGCTTGTGGGCTACAGGCTACAGCACTAGAGCACTCAATGGAGCTGGAGACACGACGAAGCCCAATCAACCAAACGCCCGCTCAGTCTTCATAGAGTCTAAGAGGTCAGTTTTGCAGCAACTAGGGTTGTCCATGGCGACACGTCCAATACTTCAGGCAGACAAAAGTTTACGGTTGTTAGCCTTCTTACAAAACACTCTGAGGTCAGCGGCGGATCGAAT